CCTCCAAGACTGAACACCAATTTTTTAGTTCCACTGATGTTATTACACTGAATACCAACTTTATAAAAGCAGAACCTTCCTGATCTATGTGATTTTGTTTATTTTATACATTAACCTTGAAAAGGTATTTGCCAAATGCCTTCCAAAGGCCAAAACTATGCTAAGCACTGGGGGCACAGTGATGAGTAAGAGAGTCATAACAGCACCCTCACAGTGCTTATCATCTGGAGCAGGACCATCCAATAAAAATATAATGCAATACACATATATTACTTAAAATTTTCTATAGCCACCTTAAAAAAGTAAAAAGAAACAGGTATGATTTTAATATTGTATACAACCCAATAATTTCTAAAATATGACCACTTCTACACAGGATGAACATATACATTTTTGAGATACACTAAATTCTTTTTTCAAATTAAGGTGTATATTTTACATGTATGATCTTTCAATTAGGAGCAGCCACATTTCAAGAATTCCATAGATACATGTGGCTACTGGCAACTGTACTAGACAGTACAGATCTAGGGGAGAAGTTAAATGGGAAGCAAGCACTAGAATAGTGGAAATGCTATGACAGGGAAATGCAGTGCTACAGGAGCATGGAGGAGAGCATCTCAACTAATCTGTGTGGAGCTAGAAAAAACCTCCTGGAGGAAGTGACACTTCAGCTATGTTCAAAAGGATGAGCGGGCACTAGCGATAGGAAAGGATAGGGGTTGGGCACTTTAGTGTTAATGTTAAAAATACACAAGGCCTGTAAGTGAGAGCAACTATGGTGTGCTGGAAAGACGAGACTGTAAGAACTTCAATATGGTCAGGACAGAGATTATTGTGGAGAGCAAGAAAGATGAAAATGAAAAGACAGGTAAGAGCTGGTCCATGAAAAGCTTTGCAAACCATGTAAAGGAATTTGGATTTTATTCTAAGGAATTCATCCTTTCTAAAGACTTTAGGTCTCTATGGAACTAGCAATTTCAGACTGAAATGTGTTCCTCTTCACAGAAATACAAGGGGAGTAAGACAGATGGAGATGACAAGGCTAAAGCAAGATAACCATTTATTAGAGGTGATGAAGAGTTTGGTTCTACATTAAATTAGTCCCTCAGGTCATTTTCAAGTCTTAAGAGTTCATAAATCTAACTTTTTAGTTATAATTGTATTAGAACATAAACTAGGCTTAAGAAAATGTGATTTGTTATTTATGAATTATTTTTGGAGAGAACACTAACATGTGTTAGATATTAACATTAAAATTTCTGGCTAGCAGTTCTAAATAGTGTGTATGAATAGTGAAGTCCCACAGGTTCTTTTTGGAATGATAAATTACTAATTTGGTAATTCACAAAGTAATTCATGGTAGTTGTAAGTGTCCTGTTCCAAACTGCAGCTTCAAACCTGTCTTTTGGTGCTCACATAATATGGAAGAATACTGGAACTGTAGTTACTTGTACTAGCAAAAGGCACTAGGCTTTAGGTTTTACAAATTACAACTTAATAACTTGAATTATTAGATAATTCCACTAAGTATATTGTGATTACAAGTGTCATGGTCTTCCTTGTCCTAATGGATTATTAGCTTTTTGAAAGTAAAGGAAGTGATTTATATTTCCATCAATATATGGGCTTTACTATGTGGCATATTTCCCAGAGTGCTTGATAATTTTGGACATACTTAGTATGATTTTATTACAACCAGAAAAGATGTCCGAATATAGTCATAGCATGTTATAGCCTGCCAAAATACATGTTTCTTAAATAAAGATATTGCTTAGGAACTGTACCAGGTTGAATAGTGTCCCCCAAAGATTGTGTTTACCAGAAACCTGTGAACATAACTTTATTTGGAAATAGGGTCTTTGCAGATATCATTCAAGTTGAGGACATATTCTATTAGGTTGGGCCCTAAATCCAATACAACTGATGTCCTTATAATAAAAGGAAAATTTGGACACAAAAACATGTTCAGGGAGAATCCCACATGATAGTGGAGACAGAGACTTAGTGATACATATACAAGCCAAGGAACACCAAGGATTGCAGGCAACTGCCAGACACTAGGAATGGTTAAGGAGGCATTCTCCTCTAGAGCCCTGCTGGTAACTTGACTTTGGACTTCTAGCCTCCAGAACTGTGACAGAATAAATTTCTGTTATTTTAAGCCACCAAATGTGTGGTACTTTGTTACTGCAGCACTAGGAAACTAATACAGGAACCGTAATGGGCCCTTCATTGCTTTCCATATTTCCTCATGAGTAGCTCTTTTAAGAGACTTCTATTTAAGAGAATTGACAAATTAATCCCCTTCTCTGTTCAAGTGTCTCAGGGTAGTATTTTACTCTGAGCATTCCTATACAGTCCTGCTCCCACCGAAAGAGCTATTCCCTTATAGCCCAGAGCACTTACTTTTGCCATTAATTAATTTAATCAAATATTACATAAACTGGTGAAATATGAATGCAAAATGAAAGACATCTGCTGTTCTCATGAAAACTAATGTAGACACTTTGGAGACTCGATAAAGGTAAGTCATGTAAAAAATGCAATCAAATTAGATGTACATGAGGTAATTATGAAAGATTGAAAAATTATAAAAATCTAGAAAATATGTTCAGATTGCTTTGTACTTACCTTTAAACTCTAACTTTACTTTAATAAAAATAAAATCAGAGCTTGTAGAAGATACACCATGGTTGTGGTTTATGTAAGAATGGACTTTGCAGAACTGCAATTAGGACCCGAGCATCTCCATATATATAAATATGTATAGGTTCTACAATTCTCCACATGTACCAACTTCTTCTATTACCCACATAATCATAACTTCAGACTATGGTAAATAAGGGGATTTCCACTATAACTAGAAGAACCATGTTCACTATACTATGTTTTTATTCAGCCACTTATCAGTCAGTAAACTTTGTGAATAGAGGCTCTGATCTGCTCCCCCCTTCTACTGTTAGTACTCAGTATAATGCCTGGTATATAGCAGCCTCTCCCAAAATGGTTTTTGAATAAAAGAGCACAAAATGCAAACCCATTTTTTTTCTGTTTTTCCCTTTTCCACAGAATCATATCATCAGTAAATTTGTATTTTTATGGGCTGATTTGAGCCATAAAAAAGGACTCATTATGGGGAACTCAATCTTTTAATGGCATTTATTTAATTCTACACATATATGAATATTCTCATTTTTATGATATCATTTCTCTTAGGCCTAATATGTTTTTCACATCATAATCTTTCTGAAAATACTTAAATTGTTCCTATTCTACATCTTGATATAATTTCTGTGTAATGCCACAGTGTTATTTCCCCAAGTTTGCAGATTAGGACCCTGAGACAAAAAAGTTAACTCAATATCTTAAAGGCAAATTCCCAGTTATGCCTCAAATTCATGAGCTTCCAAATTCTAGATTAGTACTGACTTTGCCATTAACTAGGCTGTCTACATTGGAGGAAACCACTGACCCTCCCTGAGACTCAGTTTCTTCAGTTATCAGATGAGGTTTTTTGACTGGATGATCTCTAGGATGCCCTTAGCCCTGATCCTCACTTTCAGCACTAGAAAATTCTGAATTTTCTCATGTACAAAAATATGGGAGCCAGAGAACAACATATACAGCTAAAGAATGACAGGAAGGGTAAGATAAGGTAGTAATGGTTACTGAGTACAGAGTGGAAAGAAGGGGATACAAGACAGAGGGCGAATTAATGCAGTCTGCTAATACAAACTCTTTTTGGGAAAAAATACCATGCAATATTTTATGATCATATAACCTACAAGAATTTTGCTCTTACTTGACTACAGGAATCTCAGTAGTAAGTTGGAAAGGCCTTGAGGTGTGTATAAAGCTTAAAAAACTTAAAGACTTGGCCAACTCTGTATTTTATTATCCTAAGTAAAATAGTCTTATTAAATTATGTCATAAAACAATTGCTATATGATCTCTAAATCTTCATCTGAATGAATTTATAATCAAGTTTTATTCCTTAAACTATACATAATATTAAGACAGAGGCAACTAATATTAGGTTCTTTTTATAAGCTACACAATTACTCATTTTCACTACTTCCTTAGCTACTTAAGTAACTTAACAGGAGCCATTGAAAAGAAATCCTAATACATTTGGTAAATAAAAATGATGTAGGGTTTCAGATGGCCCAATAAGATGAAGAATTTAACACTGGAATTCTGTTAAATAACTGCAGGAGTTGTATTTTTGCCTTGAAATACTTTCATCATGGAACACAGCTGTGAAACAACTTTGGCTTCAAACAGAAAGACTATAATAAAGCGCCTCCTAGCTAGACTTAAGTTCAAGAGGTTTATGGTGGCAAACAGCACAAAAGATGAAATATTTCAATAAGCCCCTCAGGCTGATTTAGTTAGCATTCACAAAGTGGAGTAACCTATACATCACATACCCTTTGTTAGCTGGTTGTTTAGAATAGATGTATGAGTCACTGAATTTTATTTTAGCAGTTGGGCAATGCAATTCTCCTTTTGCCCAAAATATTAAAATGCAGAAATGTGAAACTAAGAGAGGTAATGTCAGATCTTATACAGAATGCTTATCAACCACTGTGATAGATCAAGAAATTCTTCTGCTCTTGTCATTCCATGTTTCACCTTGGTAGGCACAAATGATAAATTACCTCACAAAAAAAAAAACAAAAAAAAACCCCCCAAAAAACAATCTATTGTTCAACTAATCAGCAACTACAGTATATTTTCTTAAATTGTGTGGGGGAGAGGTGTTGGATGGGAAAAGTTTGCAAAACCAAAAGAAAGCTGGTATGGTATGGAGAGAAGGATACACAAGATTCTATCCTGCATGATTTTAAGCACAAATGAATCCCTCTGGGAGTTTGGGGGATTAATATATATATATATATATATATATATACATATATGTGTGTATATATATATATATATATTTTTTTTTTTTTTTTTCTCTTCTCTCAGACACTGTTCAGAATTAATGAGGGTACCTGCAACGATGCTGGCAAGCTGCTGGGTTCTGGAGATGGGGTAAAGGCTGCGTGCCTGAACAATTGCTGAAGCGATTTTCTTGGCATGCTTCTCCTCCCCGTATGTTCTCAGGATGGATGCAAGTGCCTGTTGATCTAAAGCGTTCACAACATCAGCTGCGGTGGGCATGTCAGGGTACCTACGCACAAGAAGAGCCAATTAGTTTGCTGACGTCAGTTTCGTTGACAAGAGGTGAAATTTCAGAGTACCGAAGTCAGGTATACACACACAGTCTAAGAGAGCGTCTGAGGTTTTTTAAAGTCAGAGACTGAAATCTTAAACGAATGAAATAGATTTTCCATTTCAAATACCCGTCAAAATAGCAATAGTGGATTGTGTGTGACATTCATCAAGGTCAAGGGCAGCAGGAAATTAAAATATTTTACTAACCTTTAATTCACAAAGAAGTTATTATTACTAATGCAGATTTCCCCTAAACTAAAATAATGGAAAATGTTTGGATTTAGCTTGTTCAAAATTTAAATTACTGCCTGATTTTGTTTTTCACTATAAGAAGATACAAGATATGGACAGGTATTTAAAGGAGCCTATATCTCAGGAACTTAATTCTGAGATTATAAAGTAACTGAGTACTTTTTTGGGAGCACAAATTGAACTTGGAAAGTCTATACAAGAAGATACTCCCAGTCCGTTTCCCTCACAAAAAAATTGAACAACTTAATGGTAATAATGTATGTTATTTCCAATGTTTAATGATATTGGTTTATAAACCCATGACTAAAGTCACCATGACTAAGGGGTAAAACTTAGTAATCAAGAAACAGTACTAAACAAGCCTGAGATGGTAATTTCAGGTGCAGGAGACAAAGGAAAAACAACCTCTAGCCAAATAGAATAGATCACAGTAGTAGGAAATAGCATTCACTCTGTCAGATCATTCATTCCAGTTTACCTTCTTTTAGGGAAATGTGTGAAGGAATTCTAAGTGATGAACCAACCGAGACCTTACTTATTAGTAAGATAGCTTTGTTAACAGTACAGTTACTACTCCTGTAGTTAATGTGTTGGACTGATCATCAGTATCACACTGTGAGGACTTTAAGTAATAAGGATATGGTAGCTTTAAGACCTAAAGACTATACCACAGTGGGGCGGTGAAGAAACACCTGAATCCCTTCTTAAAAAATACTCTACTGCACCTTGTTAACATGCCTAGTGCCTCCAGGAGAAAATTTTGTTGTTATCTTTGGCTTTTGCCCTATTTTGCCATGACCTCTCCCTCTCTCTCTCTGTCTTACTCCGTGTGTGTGTGAGTGTGTGTGTGTGTGTGTGTGCGCACATGTGTGTATGAAAGAGAGACAGAGAGAATGAAACCTTGCTTTCCAGATCTGACTCATTTTTTTTTTTGGCTGCCATGGTACCTCCAGACTAATGAACATCCTATAAGGTAGCCCTGTTTCCATCTCAATAGCCTTTGTTCCTTCAATAATAGCTTTAAGGATAAAGATTTGGTCTTTAGAGTCAGATCAACCTAGGTTAGAATCCCAGACTTGCTATTCATATTGTGTAAGCTTTTTAACCTACTGAAGCCCCAATTTCTAACCTGTAAAATGAAATAACAATGCTTTCCTTATAGAATTGTTGGCAGAATTAAGAGTACATGCAATTGTAAAATAGATAGAATGTCTGGCATACAGAAGCTCAATGAATGTCTGGGTTCCAGATCTTGCCCATTCCTAGATTTGCCCATCATCCTTAGCCTAATGGACAACATCCTAGCTAGATCTTATGTAGCTGTGTATTCAACTGTCCAAACCACTGAGCATCGAAATGAACCTTATTAATGATAGTAAATTCAGACCCACAGGATATAGTCCAGCTCTACCAGGACAACTCTAAGATTAGACGGATGTACTTAGCAGTTTCTTATAATACCTTTCTACTTTTAAGTAAGACCATTAAACAGCATTTTGCTCAAATATAGTTCAGTGGATAATGGGCATAATTTTATTTTACCCTCATGTTAACACTGAATAGCAATGTAGAAGTTTCCATTTACAAAAGGGGCAACACTGAAAAGCCGACAGGCTGCTAGGAGACTTCAGAATAGGCATTCACAGTGAAGTCAAGATACAAAATCTGCCCCCCGCCCCCAAATTACAGGTGAGAGATCTTGTTGGTTCTCCAAAAATCACTGATTTAAAATAACTGCACTAAAGACAGAAAGAAAATATTAACACAGTGACAATTTATTAACCTCCAGTGAAGAATACAACTGACAACAGAATTAGACCTGCGAGTCCTTGAAGCTGTGTTTCTTTTTGCTACATGAGAACCTTTTGTAATCTGAGACCTGTTGCTGAAATAGGGATAGCACAGACTAAACTATGCTATACGAGTCCAGTGTTAAATGGCAACAGGTTAGGAAAGCCTCTTGCATCTACCTTCATTGCAGAGATATATTAGCCTCCAGGATCTGACTGGCCCTATTTTTTGGCTTGGACTCCCTCGCCCCATAACACCACTTGGATCAAGTATTGGATATGCTTGCACTGATTGGGTTATACAGTCTATGCGATCTACCTGGAAGCCACCCTGCTTTTTAAGATATATTTGCTCAACTCTAATCTCATCCATTATGTATTGACTTAGAGTTTAATGCTCAAGGGCAATTTTATTTTCAGGTTCTTAGGGGAAAACTTCAAGAACCCTGATTCACAGACTACAATTTGCTGAAAAGTCTTTATATTAACAATATGGGGATTTACTACCATTAACTAGAAACTTTGTTCATTGTATTTCAGAAGGCATCCTCCTTTAACAAGACATAGGAACCGCAGAAATTTGCTTGACATTTTATTACCTCTACACAACAACCTCAATCTCCAAACATGAAAAGATATTTGACCTTTACTATTAGTCACTGCTTTTTAAGGGATTTTCATTATTTTCTTTTATAATCACATTCTTCATCCTATGAATGCCAACTTGTGCAAAAGGTGTAAGATTCAGAACAAAAAGGTTCCAACAAGTATGGGTCACAATCCAAGTTACCAGGTCATATCAAAACATGGTGAAAAGGCTATATGTGAATAATTACCATTGAACAAAGCATTTTATAGGAAAGAAGTCAAAGTCAACTCAATATTAATTTGCTGACTTAAACAGGACATTAAATTTCTGATATACAGGTCATTCTAATAGATTGGAAGACATTTTGGAAAATCTATTTGTCTCAGTAGAAATGTTTGTGCAGGTTAGAACTGCAGATTAGTAATAGTAACAGAATGGTTTGCTTATTTAGAAATAAGAAAATCTAATATTCCTCTTAGAAGGTAAGCTTCCCAAAGGTGGGGGCTGTGATACATAATTTGGCGGCGGTGGTGGGGCATGAAATGAGGAAAATAAACACTGTTAAGCTTTGTACGTAGAGGCTATTCCATCCCTAAGCCAGTGTTAGGCATAGAGACAAGTGCTAATCTAAGCTTTAAAAATTAATATAGGTTTAAAAGAACTTATCCCACACTTTACTAGAATGTGATCCTCTTTGTGTTATATGTACTTCCTTGAATAATGGAGAACAAACTTTCCAGGGTGGTGAGGAATGAAGAGGAGGAGGTGTAAAGCTGTCCTATACATAGTACTATGTTGATACAGTACCATAAACTGTAATTTCTCTGGAGAAGGTTAAACCAAAGTGACTGTACAAGAGCAGGACAAAACATACAATTGCTGACCTCCAGAATCTTGCATTTTATGCAGTATTCAAAAGAATATGCATGAAATATAATTCCTTTTACATCTCACAATAGGCATAGTTGGGCCTGGATAGAAATGGATCCATTGTTTCAGTATCACATTTATCAATACTGTTTGTAGTCTAAAGACTCATATTGTATCTATAAAAAAGATAATCAATATGAAAGTTATCCTCTTCACTATTTTGTGTAAAGATAGCAATGATTTTTCTTTTAGAATCTCAAATCTAGAGAAACACTAAAGTCTATAATGAGTAGCAAACAAAACTGATTTATTATGTATGGATAGTGTTAGGTGTGGGTGTGTGATGGGAATTCTGCAGTCTTAAAAGGAAATTAAATCCAGAGTGTTTTTGCAAAATTGATTTCTTGTTGTGAGGAGAAATGCTTTATCCATACTCACCTGCCACCATCCATTCTCATGTCCAAGGGGCCATCCTTCCGGAGGGAAAAACCTCTTTCAGGAGCATCAAGTTGCATGGAGGAACACCCAAGATCCAAAAGAACTCCATCCAAAGTCCCTGGCTGCACTCCAGCTTTCATTAATAAGGCTTCTGCCTGGCTGAACTGGCCTAGCATAGCTCGGATCTGTTTACTGTGAATAAACCCAGGAGATGGAGAAAAGACTTTGTTATATTAAATTCTTACGGTCTATGATCAATGGAAGGAAGCACAGCCTATTATTAGCTTATTTAACCAATATGTATTTAGTAAGGACCAATCACATGCTTGGTACTATATAAAAACATATGGAAATGGAAACTTTACATCCCTGGTTTCAACACCAGAGGTGAATTAATATAATTTTATTTTTGCTAATAAACAGTTTATTGTATATTCCGTGAAGGTATACAATAAGTTCACGAATTTGCAAAATTCCTTTGTCAGACCAGGTCATTCATAATTCTTTAAAAAAAAATCTCTTATTCATTTGCACAAAATAAACTCTTTTCAAAAAAAGAAAAATCTTAAATCTATGGGTCAGGAAAAGAAGCATATATCATTTATCAAAAGAATAAATTTAGAGATAACAAATGCTGGTGAGGATGTGGAGAAAGGGGAACTGTGCACTGTTGGTGGGGATGTAAATTTGTACAACTACTATGGAAAACAGTATAGAGCTTCCTCAAAAAATTAAAAACAGAACTAACATATGATCCAGCAATTCCACTTCTGGAAATATATCTAGAGGAAATGAAAACATTCTGTTGAAGAGGTATCTGCACCCCCATGTTCATAACAGCATTATTTATAATAGCCAGAACATGGAAACAACTTAAGTGTCCATCAACAGATGAATAAAGAAGTTGTGTACACACACACACACACACACACACACACACAAATGGAATATTATCCAGCCTTAAAAAAAGAAGTAAATCTTGTCATTTGTGATAGTCTGGATGGACCTTGAGGGCATTATCCTAAGTGAAATAAGTCAGAGAGAGAAAGACATATGATGTCATATGTGAAATCTTAAAAAGAGAGAGAGAAAACCAAATTCATTAAAAAAAAAAAAAAAAAAGAGTGAGAGAGAGATCAGATTTGTGGTTACCAGAGGTAGGAGATGGGGAAAAGAGAATTGGATGAAGGTGGTCAAAAGGTACAAATGTCCAGATAAATAAGTTAAATAATACTAGGGATGTAATATACAACATGACAACTACAGTTGACACTGCTGTATGATATATAGGTAGCTCTTAAGAGAGTAAATCCTAAGAGTTCTCATCTCAAGGAAAGACATATTTTTTCTTCTTTTATATTTATACGAGATGATGGATGTTAACTAAATTATTGTGGTAATCATTTCACAATATTTGTAAGTCAAATCATTACACTGTACACCTTAAACTTATATAGTACTGTATGTTAATAAAAAAATAAATTTAATGAGTAAGCCAATTTAAGTACAATAAATAATAAAGCGGAGATCACAGAAAAAAGATATGTCAAACATCTTCAAGCCAAACACTTTAGATTGTTCTATATTTTTCCCATAATTTAGGATAGGGGTGCTGTGCAGCTGCACACCTGAAGTATGAAGCATGAAACTATGCTTAAAATAAATACCTTCTTGCAGAAACAATGTTTTAGCTTTCAGCAGGGATTTTGAAGTGAATGGAGCATTCAAAATCAATAGACAGGCAAGAAGTTGGGATCACCTTGCAGCTATACTAATTCTCCTTCCTACACAAAGTGAGATGCTGCCTGCAGGGTTCTTCAGAAGCCTTAGGGCAACTGGTATGCATTTTGAATGGGGACTGACAAGAGAAAAAATTGGCAACTCTCCCAAGACCTTATTCCCTCCATCTACAGGTGGATAGGGTAAGTTCGGATTTCAACAGTGTTGGGGAATTCATATTTATGATGTTACGTTTAAGGAGAACTTCATTGCTCATTGGTAATTTTTCCCCAAATTCTGATGGAGAAACTTGATTTTCAGATTCACTCACCAAAATTTCATTGGCTATCTGCTATATATCAGACATTATGTTAATTGAAGGTATATAAAGATGAATAAAGCATGGCTTTTCAAAGCTTTGAACTGAGGAAGAAATATATAAATGAATAATTTGTGAAACAACCTGAGGGATGCTAATAGTAGAAAGATAAATTGTTATATCTGTATTTGTAAATACACAATGAATGCTAATACTAACACTGGGAACACAAATAATAGAATACTGGGATTGGAAAGCAACTCACAAATCACTAATTCCAATTATTTAACTGATGTTTGAATATTTTCCATCTCCACCATCACTGCTGGGTGGGGTGGGGTAGGGGGAGAGTCACTGTTTTAACCACCTCGCATTCTCCTCATCGGTGAGGGAGGGATGCCCATTCTAGAATTATGGAAATGGCTGAAACACAGAACCTGGCCACTGGACAGATGAGATTGACAGTTTATTAATCACACACCCTTACAGCCCAGGGGAGGAGGGCAGCATGTACCATGCATGGCTACATGTGGGTTGCACTCAGGAACAGAGTGGGCAAGCAGAGGCTATAATAAGCAGGTTTTAAGTATCAAAAGAGCCGGTCACCCTTGGTTCCCATGAGAGAATGTGATTGGCTTGTCTGAGTAATTACATGGGCAGAGAACTGAAACGTGCTACTCAGAGATAAGCAGATATTTTTACTTATTCCTTTGATAATAAGGGTCCTTTGGCTCAGGAACCTTATCTGTGAGAGCACAGTGGGGAGGAGAACTTGTGGTTGGGCCACTGGAAGGTCTCCCAATTTTCCCCAGATGTCAAGAACACATAATATTGGGCTTTAATTTTAAGGCCTTACATGACAACCATCTAGCTCATGTTTGAACATTTCCAATAATCAGAACTCATTACTGTTTTTTGCTAATTATTTTTTAGTTGATAACTGTTTCCTCACCATTTCTATATTTTTTTTCTCCTTGATATTAGTCTATGTAAAACAACTGAAAACCTACAACCATGGAAGCCTTTCACATACTATTAGCCATTGTAAGGGATATTTGTTGGCTGCCTCTTAGTTGGCCAATCTCTGTTCCAGCAGGACCTCAAAATTTCAGCCATGTATTTTGGGCGAGACTGATTATATCTATAGTGGTTTATATGTCAACTTCGCAAGGCTACATTACCTAGTTATTTAATCAAACACTAATCGAGGTGTTGCTTTGTAAATGTAGTTAATAATCGGTTCACTTTAAGTGAAGACATTACCTTTAGTAATGTAGGTGTACCTCATCCAATGAGGTGAAAGGCTTTCCAAGAGCAAAAACTGAGGTTTCCCAGAGGAAGAAGAAATTCAGCCTCAAGACTTCAATATCAGCTCCTGTCAGAGAATTTCTAGCCTGATGGCCTGTCTTATCTACTTCAGACTTGCCAGTCCCACTACTGTATGAGCAAATTCCTTAAAATAAATCCCTTTATATATTATATATTATATCCGTCAGGATTCTCAGGAGAAACAGAACCAGCAGGAGATATACATACATACACACATCATTTATATATTTAAATATATATTTTATATATAATATATATCAATATGTAATATACGAGTGAGTGTGTGTGTGTGTGTGTGTGTGTGTGTGTGTATGTATATCTCCTGCTGGTTCTGTTTCTCCTGAGAATCCTGATGGACATAATATCTCAGCTCAAGACACAGATTTGTGATTAGCCATGCAAATTTGCACACACCATCCTTATGGCCCCTGTAATTTGTTCAGAGATTGGCATATGTCACAATTCTAGCCAATGAGACACAAGAGATATTTCCTAGGGATCTGGAAAAAGAAAATTACTCTTTCTTTCAATGAGCTATATAGGAGGAAAAAGGTTTTTCAGACTCACACTTGACATGAAGGAAGCACATAGCCCTAATTGTTGCCAGCAGATATCCTGACCTGAGAAGGGAGAGAGTGGCAGCCAGTTTTGGTCAAAACTGTAGAAAGCACAACTGAAAGATTAACTAGGCCACTAGATTGAGCTTCACCTAAAATCCAACTTGTCTCAGAACTTTTGAGTTATATGAGCCCATAAATTATGTTCATTATTAAAGCCAGTTAGAAGTGCTTTTTTTCTTACAATGGCAAACATCATAACTATTATAGCTATTATGCTCCTCAAGTTTTCTTTTCTCTAAACCATACAACTCTTGTTTCTTCTGCTATTCTCCACACACACAAAAACCTTTCATCATGCTAGTTGCTCTTTTATGAATATGTTCCAATTTGTCTATGTCCCTAGATCTAAATTCCATAATGATCAACACAGAATAAAGTCAATTCTGGCCTTTTCTTGTTCTAGTTATTTTATTAATATAGCCCAAGGTCAAAATGGTTTCAGAATTTATTTCAGACCATTGCCTATGCTACCTAATACTTTTCAGTCTTTTAAATTCCTTTTTTTAAAATTCATTTTAGTTAACACACAGTGTATTATTAGTTTCAGGGGTAGAATTTAGTGATTCATCAGTTGCATATAACACCCAGTGCTCATTACATCAAGTGCCCTCCTTAATGCCCATCATCCAATTACCCCATCCCCCCACCCACCTCCCCTCCAGCAATCCTTAGTTTGTATCCTATAGTTAAGAGTCTTTTATGGTTTGTCTCCCTCTCAATTTTCATCTTATTTTATTTTTCCTTCCCTTCCCCTATGTTCATCTGTTTTGTTCCTTAAATTCCACATATGAGTGAAATCATATGGCATTTGTCTTTCTCTGACTGACTTATTTCACTTAGCATAATACCCTCTAGTTCCATCCACATCATTACAAATGGCAAGATTTCATTCTTTTTGATGGCTGAGTAATATCCCACTGTATATATATATGTATATGTGTGTGTGTGTGGACACATAAACACAAATACCCCACATCTTCTTTATCCATTCATCTGTTGATGGACATCTGGGCTCTTTCTATATTTTGGCTATCATGGACATTGCTGCTATAAACACTGGGGTGCAGCTGTCCTTCGCATCACTATGTTTGTATCCTTTGGATAAATACCTAGTAGTGCAATTGCTGGATCGTAGGGTAGTTCTATTTTTAGCTTTTTGAGGAACTTCCATACTGTTTTCCAGAGTGGCTGCAAAAGTTTGCATT